CGTCAGGTATCCGACCCTGTTAACGAAGTTGTTAGCTCCAGAGAATGCATCATAAATGTAATGACAAACCTCGAAATGGAGCCAGGTTGGGTTGGTGAGATTGCCTGCAATCTGGGTAAACTCATCCACCGTCATCTCAGGCAGTTCATTGTAGTTGACAATGGTACGACTGCCAGACGATTCACTCTTGATAATGTAACTTGAGGCAGGCTCATTGAAGGCCTCTCGAAAGATACAATGAGACAGGTTAACGTGGGGCTTGAATGCTGACTGAATCTCTTGGGCAGCAGTAGACGCTTTCGCAGGTAGGACAGCAATCAGGTTCAGGGAGACATCAACAGTTGATGTGGTGTCCGTTGTCAACTGCTTCAAGACTTCCAGAGAGTTTGGACAGTTACCTCCCCTCCGATGGGAGATGCTGGAAGCTCGTAGCTTATCATCTTCTCCAGGATAGTGGGGTGTTCTGATACGAAGAATTAGCTACTGAGATGATGGGAACTAGCAGTAGAGGGCGCCAACCAACGTTAGGATTGTATCCACATAGCATGCACCTATTGCGACCAAGGACATCTTGTTCACTTGGTAAGTCTTGCAAAGAGAAATGATATACCGAAGCAGAATATCTGCACCTTGTAATGCCGAGAGGGGTATTGTGGTGGTGGGATTAGTCAGGACCCACTGTCGACATCATCGCTGGCAGTTGGAGATCCACGATCAAGTAAACAGTAGGGAAACATGGTCGAACAGGCAACAGTGACACCAAATCTAGGTTTGAATCCTTTCTGTGAGTATTCACTGTGTAGGATTTGACATTTGTGGAAATAACCGTACGGTTGGCGGCTTCTCCCAAAGAGAAGTACTAGTAGTATCTATTTATCGCGGAGAGAGCCACGCGAATATGCACAGAACCACGGCATCTTCCGTAAGTCAAGTTGACATATAAAAATAGCATGAGACATCGGTACTACCTGCTAATTGTTTTGGTGTGATTGGTGTTTCATGGAAAGATAAATCATCCACTTTTGTTTACAGGCAGAGGTACGTTTCCGGAATATTAGTATTAATTATTTAACTAGTATAATTTATCATGCAGCTATCTGTGCCTACATTGCCTACTCAAACATAAAGGTTGTCTTAATATACGTGTAAAAGCATGTAAAGTCTAAAGCTGACAGGACAAGTAGTGTTTGGAAATAATGTTCCAGGTACAGCTGTCTCGAGAAACTTCCAATGGCAAAGTAGAGCCACAAATAGGACCATTGATTACTAGTGGCTTTCACGCGTTACCAGTTGCCCTTGGCTGGTGAATATTTCGGTATATATTCTGCCAACTCTCCCAATCCAGCTTCATGGAGATATCAGTAGTATGTAATAGCATCTCACCAAGAGATATGACATGATACACACTCTTAATGGGATAGCAGATCAATTGCACAGTTACATCTTCCACAACTATGATTATATCTTAGCGAGCCCATATGTTTAGTGCTAAAACACCTACTGGAAATGGGAGATCTGGACTAAGACCCTGTCTGTATTCACAGAACATGAATAGACTACCCAGAACCGACTGCCTAGAGTGCATCTAGACCCAACCTTGGCTTTGTTTTCTGGTGGGCTACACCCAGTCCCCCAATCCTGTGTCAGCAGTCCAATTCACTAGCCCGCGTGCACGGGTGAGTAGCACCAATCAAGCTCAGTATTCCGTGACGAATAACAGGAACAGGGCGCTAGGCATCTGTATGGAGCCAATGCCCAACTACACATACCCTGTCTATGTCAGAAACAAAGTGGAGCCCCCACGACAAGCATGAATACAGTACTTCGATTCACTCACAAAGGAGATACCGAAACTTATTCCGGTACTGGAATGTAGGTCTATAAGTATCAGGTCCAAAACCATGTTCATCGGTCTCTCATCATTCACTTCCAACATCTTTCTCCCACAGTGAACACTTCATATTCCATTGTGCGTGCACAGGAGGTCACCAGATTACTCACGTACATACGTTGGAGTAGCTGAGGCGATGGAAAGCCGGAGCCCAACTCCTACCAAAGCTACTGTCAAGCCCAGTGCGTCTGGTACGTCCCTTCCTCACCTATCCCCCTATGAGTTGTCCTCCCTGACATGAGTGCTTCTGGCATAGCAGGTACTCTGAAGCCTGACCGAACCATGAATTATCAAGCCGAGAATGATTTCGCATCTCCAACGAATCCATCATCTGCTACGTCCACCGCTTCCAACTACAGACGCACCAAGTCTATGATGTCGGTCGATGAGCCGGCTGTAAAGTTCTTGTACACCATTATGAAACAGTTAGACTTGAGAACGGTTCGTGAGTGAAGCTCTGGAAGACAGTAATAGTAGCTGACAACTGAGTAGATCGACTGGGCCTTGGTTGCCTCGCAGCTGAATATCTCCAATGGGCATGCTGCAAGAATGCGGTACTCGCGGCTCAAAGGCCAGCTGGAAAATCAAGGGCCCAACCAGAAAGCGGCGCGTCCTAAGAGAGTCGAGAACAGAAGGTCAGCCAGAGCTAGCTCCAGTAGGGCAGGGGCCACAACGGTGCCGGCGACTTCTTACCCTGACTTTGAACCTTTCGTCCCCATTAAGGAGGAATTCAAGGAGGAGGTCAAGGACGAAAATCACGGTGAGACAATGCCTCGTATGGCAGATATACCTCTCGCTCCTCCTCCTCATGCCATGCATCCGGGACCGTTCTTCCCCCATATGGCATATCCTTGGGGATTCTACTACCCGCACAGATACAGTATGGATGAATACAATATGTACACACCGATGGGGGGATTTGCAGGTAGTTATTACCAGCAGCAGCATCATGAGCAGCAGTACTTGCCATCGTCTATGGCTTCAGTTGGCTGGGAGGCGTATAAGTCTGATCCAGAAGACGAGGAGAAGAAGCTGGACGAGATCAAAGAAGAACCGGTCGACAAGGGCAAAAGTGTAGACAGAGAGGCCAAGGAGGAATTATCAGACAGAAAGTCGGATTTTACTGTCATTGAGGACTAATGGACATCAGTCACAATTCTTGTTTCTGCAATTGAGAGAGGTATTGGCAGGTAGAGCTCGGTCCTTGTGGGATCTGGAAGCGGGTTTTCTGGGGATTTGTTGCTGGCTTCGACAAACGACCGCAAGGACCGATGTCCCTTTGCTGAAACTATCCTGATAGCAGAAATATGATATTGCTTTTGCTTATGAAGTCATTCTTTAGTTGGGCGGTAGTTTTGACATTGATGGTGCGTAGCATCTTATAACCCGCTTCACTTTTCCCTCATACCACCACCAACAGATATTACCAGCTACACTGGGAGAGTGGACCGGGAGTAGACTTCGCCGATTAACCTGAAATAGTAGCAAACTGCTCTGTGAGGCATCTCACATTTTGGCGTGCTTATACGGTGGGGCTTTGTGGCTTGACCTCTCACTTGTCTCTGTTATTCACCACCCGAACAGTCCCTCTTCATCTTCTTTCCATCTTGGTGATTAGCCTGTTGACTTTTACTCACTCCTCATATCTGAATCATCTAACCTACAGCCTCTCTACGTTATATCATCTAGACAACCAAATACTCTAACTTTCGCCATGGATAAGGCCACGAAATCCAAGGCCGCGAAGTCCATCAACGCCGGTCTAGATATCCCTTATGCAGACGCGCAGTTCTTCCTCGCCTGTCTGCAGTGCATGGGGGACGACAAACAGGTAATAGAATCTCTCATCGCAGATATAGGCTCTACTAACACCAACTTGCTTTCTTCAGATCGATCTTACCAAGGTTGGAGACATGATGGGTTACAGCAATGTTGCTTCAGTCGGCAACCGTTTCCGTGCCATTCGCAAGCGCTACAATTTGAACAATATTGAGGCCAAGTCCGGCTCTGGCGTACTCAAGAGTGCAGGTGCCAATGGCGATAAGGATAAAGGCGCTGCAGGTGCTACCGAGGCCGGTGATGGCGTCGCAGAGCAGTCCGACTCCGACGTGCCTACTCCCGTCAAGCCCAAGGGCAGAAAAGTCGCCGCGCGTAAGGGAGCGAAGGCTACTACTTCGAAGCCCATTCCTGCCACTGGCACGCTTAAGTCGGAGACCAAGGGCCACAAGCGCGGGGCTAAGTCGGCTGTTGTTGTGAAGAAGGAAGAGGAAGACGATGCAGACAGTCTCATCGAAGACAATACCCCGGATGATGGCATGGAGTGTCCTACGGCGTGAACTTCTACGCGCGATTTTGCTGAACGCTTCTATGGATTTCAGACAACTGAGTCCATATAGTATGTTCATCTCACTGTCTTCATTTGGTCTACATTGTCGTGGAAGGTCCATTTAGCGCGAAGAACTTTTAAGGAAGACTATCTGGAAGGACTGGAGATTGACGCAGTTTGTATTTCCCTACCACATTGCAGGGCTTGCATTGTTACTGGTGTTGGGAAGTTTACTCTACAACCCTTAATTCCTTTACAGATTCTGAACAGCTGGGTTGATTGGGAGGGTTCTGTAGCCTTAGAGCACTAATACCTGCTAAATAAGAAAATTAGCCTACTGACTGCCGACTTCGTCATAGCCGTTGCTCAGAAGTGCCAGAACGTAGTATCGTATCACTGTTCTCTAGAGACCCTTCACTTCTCCACCTTCCAGTCTGAGACGCCCGGACGGATGTCGACTATCTGATTCACTCACAAGAAACCTAAGCGAAGCCAGCAGTGACTCCGCTAACAACATTCCCTCAGCCCTCCGCTCGTCTCAGTGTTCCTGCCCTCCCACCTTCTTCCTCTTCTTCTCTTCTTTCTGCCTACTTCTTTCCATTCTCCTACTCTATCTCTCCTACTCTCATCCCTATATCCACCGTTCACACTTTCCCAAGCGATCATCTTCCCTAACACTCGACCGAGTCCAAGATCACACGAAACGAGAGGATTCTCACTCACATCTACCCACCCCTCGCCCGTCTTTCAACTTGACTCGAGCAGAAATAAACTCAGCTCAAGATGTCTACCACAACTACCCCGTCCAAGCCCAACCGCATCACCCCGGAAGAGCAGCTTCAATTCCTCCTCAGCTGCATCCGCCACTCTAACAGCGGCAAGGTACGTACCCTTCACTCCATATCATCCCCCCAGAGCAAAACAGACTAATATAACAATCAAAAAGATTGACTTCACCGTTGTCGCACAAGAATGCAATATCATCACCAAGGCCGCTGCGTACGTTAATCATCCTGTCCCTTCAGTTTCCCAACTCACTCACAAAATCACACACACATACCATACATATATTCCCTCCAAACATATTTCATACTCGCCTGGTCCTCCCTACTTCACAAACAAACCATATTACATATACGTAATACCCCACTAACCATCTCCACAACATACAAACAGAGCCAAGCGCTACGAACGCCTCCTGAAATCACACGGCATCAACACCTCAGGCGGCTCACTCCCCTCTGCCAACAACACGCCCGCTAAGAAACGGACTGGGGCTAGTACCAGCACTACCACCGCTACAGAGAGCACGACTCCATCCACACCTACCAAGGGCAGAAAGCGCAAGGCCGATGGCATCAGCGATGCATCGAAGAAGGCCAAGGGGTTGAAGAAGATGGCTGTCGCTAGGGCTGAGAGTTTGATGCAGAAGAAGCAGCATGCTGGTGTTGGGATCAAGAAGGAGGAAGACGATGATGAGACTGAGGAGGATGAGGAGGTGAGGGCGGCTTTGTGGGAGGAGGGACTCTCTGATCGGGTTCATGGTGATGGTGAGGAGTTGGCTGTGAAGGAAAAGGCTGTGGATGATGAGGAGGAGGGGGTTGACGGCGATGCTGTTGAGGTGGTAGAGGCTTGAGGGCTTTGCTTTCAATTGCTCTGAATTACTTGATTGATTGGTCGGTTGAGTGGATGATGCAATTCAACTTTAGGGGAGGATGAGTCACTGGTTTGTCAATGATGGGGGCAGAAGGAGGTTGGATGCGCTGTGACTTTTGCTTGCAGGCTTGCTTGTTATTAGGTTGGGCGATAAAGGATGGATATCAAATCATGCGATACTCCGACAGGATACTATGATGGACTTCAGGACTTGCACAGGGTTTTAGTTACTGCAAATATGAACTAAACATTGATGGTATCAAGATACTCTATACTACCTAACAGGCTGTGAAGCAGATCGGACAAGTTCGCTCAAGGGGTATCTGTAAAGAAGACCGAACCGAAACCAACAAACAGCAGGAAAGCGCCATTTGGCTCCAGCCAACAGACAAACAGACACACAACCAAGAGCATAGAAGAAAATAAAGTTTTATAAGTGTGTTCAGGTGGACCTCGACAATTTACATAGGAATATACTGTATAGGGTATCACAACAAGTCGAGGGAGGGGGCTTGGGAGGGGATTAGGAGAGGGCGAAAGGGGTGATTCTCCGTGAACGACCAGTGTTCAGAGCTTAGATGTCTGCCATCACAGACTCAAGGATTTTGCGCTTATATTGCGACAACATTCGCTCCTTTCGCTGCACCTGCGCTCGGAGCTTGAGGTATCGTTGTTTCCACGTTGCGTCGGGGGTGGAATTCTCCGCATCCACTTCGAATTCCGCATCTGTCATGCTGTCGGCTTCTGCGATGCTGGCTTCAAGTTCCTCGGTTACCCGGGGCGTAAAGTCCAGCTTGTGACTGTCCGGAGTCGGGGTGCTGATGCTCAGGTCTCCGTACGTAACCTTCGTTGAGAACCGGAGTCCGTGCTTATACTCATGAGAGATGGTGTACATATAGTTGGGGCTCCCGTCGGTGCTTGGTGTGCCTGAGGTTACAGCAGGCCCTGACTCGATATTTACAGTCATCAAACTGTCCGTCACCCCTGGATAGCCAAATTGCTGTCCAAGCCCAAGATGCAAGGCGGACATGAGCGCCGCCAAGCCGGCTGGTAGCTTGGCATATGTAGTGGTCAAGCTGGACACTACAGACATTGCTAAAGCCCGGGCTTCGTCAGTGCTAATAGGAGCAGACCGACCGGTGGTCTTCCCGCGAAGAAGTTCGCTTGACAGTGCACGTACAACATCATCGGAAGATATATCCGCATGTGGTACGCTATTGCGGTTCGCGTAGGCAGATGGGTTGGTGACGCCCACATTGCTCATAAAGTCGTTTAGAGGGGCCAGGGTACCGTTACGCTGCGGTCCTTGTCCCTCCAATTTCGTTGACCCAGGAGCATTGTTGATACCGTTGACCATTAGGGTAGGAGGGGTTGCCAGACGGACAGGTGTGCCGGGATGAGGCGGTACCTGAAGCTGTAATTTATCTGGCTTGGGACCGAAATGGAACGGCGTAGGGGACTGCTGGAAAGGGGAGTGATTGAATCGACCGGCAGGGTCCTGATCGAGGAGCATGGCAGGGGAGTTCCGAAGCCCTGGACCCGGTAAATGGGATGGATCAGTGCGATTCGGATTAACTGGGAACGAGGAGAATGGTCCAGAGACAGTCCCTCGATTTGGTGGCCGACCTCTGGTCTTTCCATTGCTACCGGTGTTACTAGGCCAGGCAGATGACACTGCGGGGCCATGGCGTCGTTTAGGCCGCGCCTTTTCCCCGGAAGAAGACATTGTGACTGCTGAGCGCGGCTCTGCAGGTTGAATGAAGACTTCAGACTCATGCTGGCTCCTGGGTGCTATAGCAGAATGCGGATAACTCCCTGGGGACGAATCTCGTTCGATAGGTCGCCACCGCAGGTCCTGGTTCGACTGCGACGAAGGCTCAGAAGTCCCTTCCGGTGGGAATGGGGGTGCGCTGCCCATCCACGGATCATGCGATCCCATCTCGTCAGGGAAGGCGCTAAATGGCAGCGCACCTGGTGGATATGATGCTGGAGGACCTGGGAATGGCCCTGGCTGCAGCACGCCCATTATTGGATCGAGATGGGGCCTTTTCGCCATGGCTAGTCTTTCGTTTTCTTCCTCGGCTCGCTTCCGGCCCCTCTTCGGCCTCCATTGCGGAACCAGAGCCCGTAGCGCAAGATCTTCTTCCAGTGGTACTCCATCACGGCTGTCGCTGATCACATTGGCAGGCGGAAGGTGGGTGTAATAGGGATGCGGATGACCAAGACAATACTCGAAAAATGCGTCAACGTGCATTGCGCGCATCCAGCGCTAGCGATTGGTTAGTCTTTTAGCCATACATTCTGTCCGGAATACATTAGCAACAAACCTTGAGCCGAACAGCATATTGCTGGACTTTCTGGGTGCTCTGCTTCTTCTCCAGGGAAGGCGGTTCTACCCCCAGCTCGATCGCCAGTTGTATCCATGTCTTTAGCTCCTTACTATCTAGCTTCCGAATAAGTTCCCATAATGCGAATATACTGAAACTCTTGCCATCACTCCGGGGTGGGCAGCGAAAGTTCTTGCGGAGCTCTGAGGTATCCACGGACAAAGGGACATTTGGATTGCAATAGAAGACAAACATGATGTAGGCGTCATCAATGGAGCTGTCAGTCAGATCGCGAGATGGCAGGGATCGTGTTTCTGTCTGGTCCATCGACTCCCGTGGCGGCCGTGGACGAATAGAATCATACATTGGAGGCGAGATCGAGGGTCCTGAGTGCGCCATTATTGCAGGTGGAGGAGGAGGTGGCGGCGCTATCGGCCGTGGGCCGGTTGGCGATGCCTGAAGACTGCGCGGGGTAGCTTTGCGCGCCAGAGGTGGAGACTTTGAGGGAGCTATGTGACTGCGAGCACTGCCTATGGGAGAAGCGCTATGTAAACCAGGCTCCAGAGCCGGAGGATACCTTGCGTACTGTTGGATGACCATGGGTGGAGGCCCTAATTCAGTCCGTTCCGGCGGCACAGATTGGTTCATCACGTTGGGAAAGGAGGATTCCATCTTGATGGTTCTTTTGTGACAGAAAGCAAGCAAACAGCAAACACTGTGATTATGTGGACAAGAAAAGGGAAAAAGAAAGGAGAGAAAAATCGCCGGATTGAAAGCGATTCTATATATTCAATAGAGAGATGTTGGTGCAATGATAAACACAGGAAGTAGTAATGATAATGATAATGATAATCAGAATAGTAAGAAGGATAGGAGGGAAGGTGGAGGAGTAAGTAGTATCATATGGATTTAGCTTTTGACTCAATGAGAGATGAGATAGGGCAGATCTTCTTTCCAGCACGCGCCGACGTCGTAAGACCCTATCAGATCGCAAACCGCACGGGTAAAATTAGGGACCAGCCTAATGACGAGTAGTGCGCATGGGAAATAATCGATGGTTTAGGGGAGTTCGGGGGGGTGTTTGTCTCGCAAGTGTCAGAACAAGCAAAGATGATACCCGCTCGGGATTGTAAGCATCAATCCACGACGACGGCGACGAAGGTTCGACCGACAGAGCATTGTCGCCAGGCGCCAAATGGAAGGGGGAGGAGAAAAAGAGGAGAAGGTGGCTGGCCGACGGCGGCGCTTTAAAAGAACGCCGGTGATAACTCGATTGGGAGGAGCTGACTTGACTTGTTTCTATTTCGGGACTTCAGGCCTATGCTGCGATGCCTGTTGTAGTCTAGCGTTGTGGCCTCAGGGCGGGGGAACTTGATGCCTGGTCCTGTCACGCCGTCACACTCGTCACATGTCTCCCCCGCTAGTCTACTTCGGCACTAGTGAATCCCCCGAACCCCCCTTATCGATAATGCCTCCCGCCTCCCGCCTGTCCGCCTTTCCGCCTTCCCCAACTGGGAAGCTGCGATGGACCTGGAACGGCGACATCATTCTTTCCTTTTCCTACTCACTACTCCGTAACTCACCTCCTCTTTCTTTCTCCTACAGCCTATCCGTCTTCACAAACTCACCTTCTCTTCCCTAGCTGCTCTTCTCATTCTCTCTTCTCCTCTTCCTTGGTGTTCATCCAGATGAAATGCGATCCTCTCCCCTGCATCCCGCCTACCGTACACCACCTGGAGCTTAGTAGCAGCCGCACTAGCAGCAACAGCTCCTGTGCCGCCTGCCACTCCCTGTGGTCTCTCACACCGCCTACTACTAAATCAATTCACTCGTCCCGCTATGGCTCCGTCATCGAGATCGTCTCGTCCCATCCGTTCCAGTCGCACCCAAGTCCAATCCTACCATGAAGAAAGCAGCTCCGAAGGTCGTGATGACGAGGATACCCAGTCAGACGAGGAACGAGCGAGGCGCTTGTCGCTCTCGCTGCGCCCCCGCAACTCAGCTCGCATGCCCAAATCCTACCGTGAGGAATCCACTGACGATGACTTTGATGCCACCAATGATGAGCCGGAGGCTGTAGTCCCTACGATTGACGCTCCTGAGCATCTTACTTACCCGTTTACTGAGACGAACAGTCGATCCGCGCCATCACGAGCCCCGCGCAACCGAACGATGAAGACTCGCTCCCAGACAAAGAACGTGGAAAAGCGCACAGGTCGGAGACGTATCGAGCTTGGCCGACCGCTCAAAAAACGTAGGAAGGTTGAGGAAGATAATACGCCGATTGTTACTTCGGGGGTCATTCCACCATGGCAAACTCTCCCATACCACATACTCTTTGATATATTCTCCTGTGCAGCGAGCCCACTAATGGATGAAAAGACCGCGAGTAGGCATAGCTCCGTCCAGTGGCTCGTGAACATTGCTTTGATGTGTCATGCGTTTCATGAACCTGCGCTGGCGGCTCTCTATCATTGTCCTCCCCTCCTGCCAGCAGCTAAGGCCCATGCTTTGTTACAGCTACTGGCTAAGCCCCAAGACTCTCTTTCCACTAACTACGTTAGCAAGGTCAAAGAACTGCATGTTGACGTTGAGAGTCTTTTATTTTACAAGAGCGGACCGACTCTGGGATATTTTGAGTTGTCAAGGCTAATTGAACGAACCCCTCAGGTCAAAACACTGCGTCTCTACCATAAAGAAGATTACTTTCTGGGCGGCTCCCCCTGGCTGAACCCAAGGTCGAGATGGACATATCCAGATTCTCTCTTTTCATCACTGGTCTCCAGTTCAATACACCTACGGTCATGGGAATGGAACAGTCGTTTCATGGAGACCAGACAGCTGCTACCCGTCATGCTAGAAAAACACTTGCAGCCCGCATTTCATAGACTCCAGGAACTTCGATTGTTGCACTTAACTTCGGAGGATGCGGATGGTGACGAGTTGGGCTCCGACGAAAATGAAGTGGTTCTCGCCACAGCACTACGAGAACTCCCGGACCTGCACCGCTTGGACTTTGTACAATGTTCCATTGTGAACGAATACCTCTTCCCCAACTTGCCGATGGGACTCACTTCACTCACCATTAACAATTGCGACAACGTCACTGCCATGAATCTTGGCTCATTTCTCTTCTCTCATGGCCATCATCTTCAAATCTTAGATCTGAGACATAACCGCCATCTAAGCCTAGCCTTCGCTGTGAATCTTGCAGAGTCCTGCAAGAATCTCGAGAAATTCAGAATGGATATATCCATGTATGATGCGTCGAGCTATCACGACGTCGAACCCCATTTTCAAACCCTGCTTGACCTGTCAACCGGTGTTCCAACCTGGCCATCCACGCTGCAAGACATTGAATTGATTCAGTTACGCAAATGGGACGATACGACAGCTGAGGTCTTCTTTGGGACGCTCATCGATGCGGCGTCTGAACTGCGAAGTTTGCGACGACTTGTGATCAGTGCAATCCTCAAGATCGGCTGGCGAGATCGTGCGTCCTTTCGAGAAAAATGGATAGGAAAGCTAGAGAAGACGTTTTTGCGACGAAGTCAACCCCCGGACCCGAACCTCCGATCTATCCCTCGCGCCGCTCCGCAATCAGATGTAACCCATAGTCGTAACCCACAAGCCGAGGAGCCTCATACGCACTCTGACACCCAACATAGCGGGTTTTCGACGCCATCTAAACGCAAGAGCGCGCGTCTTGCTCTGAGGAAATTTTCTGAGACTGGCGATGATGAAACCGAAAACGCAGAGAAGCAGCAATCCCGGGAGGCCAGCGACAAACCACTGACTGCGAGACAAGGCATGTGTGATGTAGTGATGGTCCGTATTGACAATCAGCGTCCGTCCGAGACACAATACAATGAGGGGGATTTCCTCGACGACGAGCTCAGTGGCGATGAAGACTGGAATGGGAATGATCTGGACGTCAATGATGGGAGACACGCGTGGTAAACTTATCTTCCAGACCTGTTGGCGATTACGTTTGCTTTATCTAGTTTGTTTCTCCTAATTTTACATGATACACACTGGGTAATTTGGTCAAGGAGTTCGGGATCGATAAAGGCTTGATTTCCGGGGATGGGGAGTTTCTTCTATAGGGTGGGCAATGGGACTACGAGTGGGCTGTTTTGCAATTTTTACCAAAGTTACATCTACTTTGTATCTTATGCGGGCAATCTTAACAATATTAGACGAAAGTTCAACTGAAGCAAGCGGTAGAAACAAGAACTCTATCATGGGATAGAAGCATGCTGCTTGTTCAGAGGTAATGGTATTTCATATAGTTCCACATAAAATTATCAAGACATGATACCTGTCTGCCATGATACACTCAATGATACAATCCGCCCTTACAACAGGGACTCCTCCTGGTACTTCAGCTCACCGTTGTCGTTGGTGATGTGCTCGGCCAGGTTGACATCGGCATCAAACTGCTCGCCCTCGGAGTTGGAGAGCTTGGCTCTCAGAACGGGAACATTGTCCTCGCCCTCGATGGAGAAGCTGATCTCTTCGGCGCTGCCAGCGAAGTCGTTGCCGCCCCACAGGAAGCGACCTGTTGGGTGTAGATGGTTAGCTTATCCATTACTAAAACAGGAGATGGCTACACTCTGGTAACTTGGTAACGTATCACATACCCTCGTCGTTTCCGATGCACGAGTTAAGGTCGAACTCAGAATCCACCATCTCTCCCTCTTCGTTGGCGACCTTGGCGACCAGGATGTGGTCGTCCTTGAGGCTGATGTCCTCGGCGGTACGGTAGAAGCTCATTGTGATGGAGTTTTAAAAGAGGTTATGAGGGAATGGATGGAGGATGAATGTGTAATGAGATTGATTGCTTTGTTGTTGTGGAAATTATCGTTGATGGAGGAGAAGAAGATTGGACTTGGGATGGAGGGGGGTTTTTATACCTCGTCGAGCATCAGTGGAGTCGGCTCATCGCAGTCACCAAGAGATGCTGTGCATGGATATCATACACTTGGCCTCTGGTTATTTGCCAGTGGCTTGAGTATTCAATTGATTGATTGTCGACAACCTGGTAAGTAGGTAGGCTATTTTCGTGGGGGCTTCCTGGGATAGGGGAATGCTATGCAACAACCCCAGTATGGAGTGAAGCACCATGAACGGTGATTTGACGGTTCAACGTTGCTAGCCCCAGAAAGGCGCCAAAATCTCCACTATTGTGGCTTGTTGCTCCATAGAATCGACAATTATTGTTTCATGCTGGTCTCTGGGGCCAGTATTCCCCCCACTCCGCGTGCTCAACGAGGCTTCTTGGCAGACAGGTCAGCGGTGGACCCTGAAAGGGTCCTTCCCCTTCATCTCAGCCACAGACAGGGCTCCATCTCCATTGCCAGTCGTCCGATTCCCTATTGTCCTAGGCAGCAGTCTTGGTATGGCGCTTGGTGCATGTCACGCCCCCCGCTGTGCGTTGAAAATGGAATGGCGACATGCTTGTCATCGATGAGCATTTGCGGCTGGTGCTGGATCCGGCTGGTCGCAGATGCGTCGTCCATGGGCTTCTGTTGGGCTGACGGTCACTGGGCGCAACGACGCCCCACGGGATAATCCCTTGGCAAGTGAATCAGAGCCGACAGAATGACATAAGGCTGATTGACAACACTGGATTTCTGGACTGAGCGATTCCGGGCGGAGTGGCTGTGTTTCAAACTTCTTGTCTTGCTGGCCAAGACGTTGGAAATGCCCCTGACAGGGCTGAGTGCCTCAGGCAAACAAAGAAACTTTGGAGAGTTTGGGAGACCGTTGGCTGGCAGCGCTTTGCATTCCGCGGATCCAAAACCTGTGGTGTGGCTTATCCCAGGAAAACCCCGCTATGGAGACTGTTTGACCTGGCGAATCCTCCTCTTGGCACGCTGTTGATGGGGCGAAATGCCTCCCAGCGGATGAACACATTACCCCTCTTGCAGTTGCGTGGTCTTATTGTTTGTCTGGCCTTTCCTTGCATCAGAATGCCCGCTTCGCTTGGTGCCCAGCATCGGATGCGATCTCGATCTGTAACAGATACTATGAATATCGCATGCAAGCGATCAGGCCCCAAACCAGATGTTTTGGTCTCTGTTGGCTTACGTTTGTCCCGCGGGCAGCTTAACTAACTACTAGTTAGCTTATAACTCAGCCGCATATCTGGCTGCGAGCTGACGCATCTGGACAGAGTGAGACATTAATGATGATTGTGGTCGAAGTGTCCTCTTTCTCTTCGGCTTTGACTTCTAACCCAAGGTACCTCAATCGTATTCGGGTTCTGTCTTCCCCGGTCGCTCCTTCCCAGCACAGCAGATTCATCAATGGGAAGCCTTGGAACCGCAGACCATGAAGGATTAGTTACTTGATAAGGATTCCCCTGCAAGACCTGCTACCAAGGTCCTTACCTTCTCATTCGTGATGACTATTGTCCTCATAACAACAAAACATTTGCTCCCCACTATCATTCCCGAGCTCTTTCTGGAAGCAAGTGACAGCCATCACAGCTTTCTTGAACTAAGTAATGTTCTACTCGTAAGTCTGAGCCAGCTCAGAACACACTGTAACGAGGACAGATGAAAAATATTATTCCATAAGCTACTGTGGCTTTCTTCAACTCTACTTATGGACATAAATCACCCATTCATCAACCTCTAATTCATGTGCATTTCCTACGCCTCCAGTAAGCTGATGTTACATGCGGCATTCCCGTAAGAACAAGAACAAGAACAAGGTTCGGGCCAACGAGCGGGCCCGTCCTTCCGCTCCCTCAACCACGGTTCTTCCATTCCTGTCAGCCATAGGAAGTGTACTTACTAGACGTAGTACGTAGTCTCCTACCATGTTACCAATCTATCTGATTCTGTCAATGACAGGCAACTCTGACTGCTTGCGACCGAGGCTATCGTAGATTACCAAAACAACCAGTAATATACCAGCGTCCAAATCATAACTACCAGCCGAGACGCGGATATCCATATGCAGGAAGCCGAAGTGTTGCATGTCCGACTCCGGTTTTTGACTTTCTGTCTTTACATGGTCGAGTACCCCATCGTGCATCTAGTTTGTTTGCTACATCCCTGTCCCATCCCACCATGACGACTCCTTGCCCGTCGGTGAAGCGGGGATATAATCAGCCTTGTTGGCAATCGTTAACGTCAGCAGCTGCACCCCTCCCCTCCGGGTAACCTTCTCCAAGCCATCTTACCAATTTGAAGAAACTTTGGTAGAATGCAGTGGAATATGTATCGCACAGCTGCCTTTATGGCTGTTATAAATGGGCATAAAGTCTGATCAGAGTATTCACATCTCAAGGTAATGGAGTGGTGACTTACTGTTCATACCAAATATATTTAGCCTTTTCGCTTCGCGTTGACTCTCGTATCAGTTGATTATTGGTTCCTGTTTAGATACAATCACCATGCCTGCTTGAGAGTACCTTTGAATCTCGTGTCGAGCTGTATGGTCCTGAGGCACGATTCTGTAGAGTATAAACCCCCCCCTCCTTTCCTCTCCTTCTTCCCCACGTCCCGCGCACAACGCATTTACGCCCTCGTCAAGTCACAGATACGTTGACGAGTCAATTAACTCCAGATAGAATTCTGTTGGCGGCTTCTTCCTCGCAAGCTTCAAAAGCACGGTGTCTACTGATATGACCAGTACCGGTGATTGACGACGGGAGCGCAGAATCTATGTGAGACGATAGAGCCACAGAAGATGGTTCACAGTCTAGATCGTAATCTCTCCATCATGATTCGTTATACGGAGTTCCAGCGGGCAAGCTCCTGCCACTGCCAGCGCGAGACCGAGCCATGCTACTTTTGATGTGTGGCATATTGTTGATTGACCAAATGCAATTGAAGGCTACCATCGGCAGTCACTCGCACTCAACCTCGCGTGGGTTCTATGTCGTAACTACCTCCCATTGCGCCTCTCTACTTTAGTCGCCTTCACTTTTTCCTCCATCTTCCTTCTCTTTTCGCTCCTTCAATTGTTGGTGGAAGGCCATCGTATATTCATCCGGGTCCCAAGCCAAAACTCTACTTTCCATTTCTTCCAACTTCCGAGACACTAATTCTTCCATATCATCCTTTTCCTGTCTATCTAGCAGATTAAGCCTCTCTCTCCATGCCTCTTCAGGGTTCTTTGTAGGTCCGAAAAATCGTGGGTCTATCTTCTGCCAGTAAATCGCATCAAAGGCAAAACTATGCGTTACTGCATACATAACCCAGAAATCCCCACTTTCCCAGCTCTCACGCATGTGGTTCGACAGCCGTTGATTCTCTTTCAATTGACCCTTTTGTATCGCATTGTCTTCATGTTTCTTCATCACCTTAAGGAACGTCTTCAGTCGGAAGTCGAACTTTTTGATCCAATCCTCGAGGCCCTCTGACCAGTACTCGGGCTTCTCTATCAGCAACCACCAAGGAGGCGCATAAGCAAACTCGGCGGGTGCAGCGTATGTGAACTCCCAATCGACCACGCCGGCAAGTTCTAAATCACCATGCAAAAGCACATTAGCTGGGCGTAAATCATCACACCATAGTTTGAATGGCCCTTTGTCGAGCGCAGGATTGCCGAGTCGCTTGTCCCTGGCAAGTTTACGAAAAAGCTGCCTCGCCACATATCTTCGTCGGCAGTCGTCTGCAGAGTCCACGGAATCGTTTCTTTGGTGGATGAGATGCTCGATATTGAGATCTGCGAGAGCTTCGAGATACGACGAAGTTGTGGTGTATGTAGTGTGTATACTTGGAAGTTTTGATTGGGGCAGGCTTCCCACTCGGACGAGTTCGTTCATATTCATGGATAAAGGCCGGCGTGTTACGTCCCAGGTAAAGTCATCGATCTGGCTAAGAGAGCCTATTCGAGGAATAGAGGGAACGGAAAGCTGGAGTAGAATGTCCGCCATTTCCCCATAGAGCATCCCAAGCCTGTCTTCGTCGATAGCCGGATCTAGGACCCCGCGTTCTTCTTTCGGGCGTCCCGGAGTATTAAGAGCGTGGTACATATTTGTCTCATGTTCGATATAATCCATGATGATAAATGGACTCAACTCGAGTGGACTCTGTTTCTTTGTTCCCGAGAGATGGATAAACGGTATAAGTATTGATGTCTTGTCCGCGAGAAATCGCATGGTAGCAACCTCATTCATGACTTTCTCCTCTGGGAAAAAGACAGCGCCGGGCTGCGACAGGCGAATAATGGTAGATTCATGTTCGTTCTTCAATCGCAACGAAATGTTATAAGAGCCTTTCTCGAGTATGTTGAAATTGTTCCCATTGCATCCATTCTGATCGAGCATGAAATATCCGATCGGCACTAGGACGTCATGGTCAAGAAATTGAAGCAGCCAATTGTCTGATACTTCCTCGGCTTGTTCCCAGGCCACATCGTCGAAACGCATTCGGGGTCGCATATTTGTGTCACTGACCGGTTTCAATAAATGTGTAAGAAAACAATGAGAATAGATGCAAGTATGCGCAAGTTTTCTTGTAACACTGGCATCGTAGTATTCCAGGGGGTGAGAGAAGGCGGGGGAGGAAAACTCGACAGGGGTGAGGCTTCCCACTGCAAAAGAAAACAGGATCCATCATATGCACGGTGCCGTTGCGGGAATTCTCCATGAACAGCACCATCCTACCTGGATAGCAACTCTCCTCAACACTATGCAGACACTGGAAGAGGTATATATACATCAATCGTTCCTTGGATCCGAATTGTTTGCCTTCCCATTGCTTTGATGGAAATACTCGGTCAAGCCTTGGATAGACAGAGGATGTGGACTAGCCCATCATGGCCGGGAGTACCTACCTTCGTTATGATGAATATCCGGTATGGTATTGATAGTCAAATCAGTTCTAGTCCTAGATACCATCTAAGAGAAACCCCATTCAACTGATAACCCCCTCTGTTTGTCTTCGACCTCTTCGGTAACATCCATTTCTGCTGCAATAAGCGATCGAGGCGGACTTAAATGGTTATGGCATGGGCGGACAATAAGAAGGAACAGGACAAGAACAGTCATAAAATAAACAAAGGAAGGTTTATGAGCTCAAGCACAGGATATTCCAGTTTCTAACTTTTGCATATACTGTTAACAAACCACTCTGTACAACTGCAATGCTCAGATCACGGTCAGCTGTGCATTTTTGCGTTTTCAATTACCAAAACTCAGTGCTCGTGCTCTGGCCTGAGACAAGTTACCTGGGCATCTCCACCGGGATTTTGGCCTAGTACTGCAGTCTCAATTTAGTTGTTACTGGCATATAAAGTACTAAGTAGGCTGCATGCACGGGCCATACCCGTGCCAGAAAAGCTTTCGCACCGCACTTTAAACTTGATTTTGTATCATATACCTTCCTTATTCAGTACAAAAGTAGAACCAGAAGCATCTTGGGAATATATGATATAGCAAATAGATGGCTGTACTGCCGGCAGGTGCTTGGTATCCGTGTTGTCCGGTAAGAAACAACGTCCTCCAGATGTTCAGACACTTTCAGAAAGTAATATTTATACAGGGTATCTTGAGCATGAGTGAAATTATGAATGAGACGTTGCAGGGAGTACTTTCTAGACGCTTACACGTTGCCGATCCACCTACTTTAAGTGGGGGCTGACCCGTGAGCCAAGCGAAAGAGAGATCCTTTTGCATCGTTGTTCATGCATCGCCGAGGACTTCCGGAAGTACAGAGAATTTTCTGAATCGTGTGCATTTGGAGCTACACAAGTAAGCGGCAAAAAGTTCTTCGATCAGCCCACTTTGAGTCTCCACCCACGCGTGGATTGGATAGATGTCAAATCGTGTCAAGGCTGGAAACTCAGTCGTCCGATCCATCTGCATCTTATCTGCATCTGATTTCCGCTGACAGGATACGAGTGGCGAAAAACGATCATCTTTGTTTGCTAGGGAGAAAATAGTCCTGAGCTACTATCGTGACGACTATCTCCAAGGGGGATTCGAGGAAGGCAGCCTAGCACCTGAAGTGGTAGTCCAATCTAATAGTACCACCTCAGCTAGTTGCAGCTCGCCACGAATCAGGAAGCGGGAAGCCCCCTCTCTTTAAAAGGAACAACCCTGACAGCGAAGGAATCAGAAAATCGACCCCGATCGAACGTCATCCATCTCTCTCTCGATACACACAAACCAATTTGCTGGAGCTTGCCCCATATTGACCCTAGAGGTTGTCTCCTTTCCTAGCTGTTATTTCTCGACTTCGCTACGAGCTTCCCGAAAATTGGACTCCATGGCGGAATCCTTTTCCATCCCCGATTCTCAAGGGGCTGCCGCTAATGACCCCCCACAACCCACCTCATCTTTGGCTTCGGCTCCACAAAACGTATCCCAGAGCGCTGCGCCCGTCGCAGGGCATCATGGTGGTGAATCTTCAGACTCAGTACGCTGCTTACCACTGATCGCCGACCTTCATTTTCTCCAATTGTCAGCTGACTTGGACTCACCAGGACGAGGCAGAGCCTGAAGAAGAGTTCTCGGACTATGCAGAAGATTTGTAAGTTTATCGATCGCCCTTACCATTGACCCCTCATGCTTACAGTGCTTAGCGCGAGCGATACAACGTCGCTAAACTCTGAGATCACCTCCTACCGATTTGAGAATGGACGACGCTATCACGCCTACAAGGAGGGGGCTTATTGGTATGACTCTATCATTTGTTAGCTTCGGTGTGCGCACTATCCTGATCAAGTCACAGGGGTCCTAATGACGAAATGCAAAATGAGCAACTAGATATTGCGTATGCTCCTTGAAATCGCCCTCAACACGCAGGCTAATGCTGGTATCAGTCATCATATGTTTACATTGCTTCTCGATGGTAAACTACTACTTGCGCCGATCAGCGACAACATACAGGTATGTTAAAAGTAGCACGACTACGGCATTGACGATCATGGCGAACGCTGAGGTCCTGGCATGACAGAGAGCGCTGGATGTTGGCACTGGCACTGGGATTTGGGCCATGTGAGTAGAAGCAATCGTGAGATCGGCCATATTGAGCGAATCTGACTATTCCTTGAACAGTGATTTCGCAGACGAATATCCTTCAGCACAAGTCATTGGCACCGATCTGTCACCTATACAGCCCGGTTTTGTACCACCCAATCTACAGTTCGAGATCGACGATGCCACGGAAGACTGGGTCTATCCAGAGAACCATTTCGATTTGATCCACGTTCGTGCACTGTATGGCGCGATCGCGGACTGGCCCGCATTCTATCAGAACGCCCTCAGGTGAGTACCTCAACAAGACTTCCTGTTGCACGTTTCAACCCTCATCACATTTCCAGTCGCTTGCGGCCGGGGGGCTGGTTTGACCAGCTCGAGATGTCCATACAATTTCGATCGGATGATGGCACGGTGACAGACGACCATGTTCTAGCTGTCTGGTCGAAGACCTTCATTGAGGCGGGCGAGAAGTTCGGCAAGACCTTTCGCATTGCCGATCTTGCTAAGGGCTATATGCAGCAGGCTGGATTTCATAACGTGACGGAACACCGCATGAAGTTGCCTGTCGGTCAGTGGAGTCGAGACAAGAAGCTGAAGAAACTAGGCATGTGGAACTTGGTTCATTGTGAGCAGGGAATTGAAGGATGGGCCATGGCACTGCTGACCCGAGTCATGGGAGTAAGTCCACCCTCCATTTGCAGTTCGATGATGAAGCATTTGAGCATGCTTTCTTCTGTGGTGTGTGTCTGAGAGTGTCATACCTCGTATTTGCGTTGCGCACCACCCTTGACAGCAGCCAATCGGACACAGGCTGACAGGATAATCTTTACTGGTTTTAGTGGAGCTATGCCGAAGTGCAGGTCTTCTTGGCCCAGATGCGAAAAGGCCTCCGTGATCCGAATACTCACGCATACTTCAACGTGTAAGACACTGTCGTGTTTAACCTTCTGGACTGGACGAGCACGATGCTAACTTAGGACTGTTTCCTTTTGGGTTATAACAGGGTTGGGGTGTATGGACAAAAGCCTACAAGTGCCTATTAGAGTTTGGGGACGAAATGCACTGCGGCACGGCTGACTGGAATAAACACCGAGGAAATGCAGTGCGCAGGAGACTACTGCAAGCAGGCAGGACTAGCCTGGCAGAGGTGTGCGAATCGGGGCTCGACGTCCCCCGTCATGAAAGGTCGGGGCGGCCGGGAATGTTTGGGTTTAATGTGGACTTATGAGTTAGTGTCCTGCTCAGTATGCGTTGCACGCGCCTTCGATTGGTAGTCGGGAGCTTGGATGGTGGAGGCGACCGGGGGATGACGGCCGCCGGTGTAGCTGGAGAACATCCAATGATTGCAGTTCAACCCCAATTATGATTTATGGTTCTGCACGGTATCGGACAGTCCCTTGGTTGCACGAAATTGCTCACCATCGTCTGATGGTGATGATGATGGTGATGATACCATTTCCCCGAGTAGAGCAGTTTTAGTTAGGTGGCCTTCCTTGTTTCTCTCCAGTCTGCCTGGCCGCCTTGTGCATCCCATTCACCGGTCCTCTTTTTCTCTGCAAACCTGCAAGCATACACCGCAGAGACATTGACTTCCTGGGGGTGGTCAGACGACGATCTTCTTCCTGAAGGCCGCACACTCGCAGAACCAAAGTCGAGCTCCACCCGGAACTAGACCCATTGACCAGTCATGGCACGTCTATTGGGGACTTTTGGAGATGACGGGACACGGATTGACCTCCGACCCGCCCGGCCGGTTTTCATTGTACTATTGTCTTTTTATTGTGCTAAATGCCTCTTTTACTATTCGCGTCTTTCGTTCCCTTGTCTCTGCTGTCCTTGTCATCGCTCGCCGTGGGTCAGACCCGGCCACTTGGACCACAGATACTGGTCGCATAGGCCGCTAATTTGACTAAAAGCCAGCCGTTAGCAGTAACGGCCGCTTAAAATTAATCGACAGATGATTCGAGATGGGGCCTTGGGCTTGCTCAGCGGATGACAGGTCTGAAGAATGTCAATCCTCGCCAAGAGCCTAGATTAACCCTTTCCCGGGACATTCTGCAATTCTGCAGCCGGGAATTGGGACCAGACCACTGGGTCCATTGCTTTTTGCTGGCTGCACTGCAGAAGGCAACTGAAGGGCTAGTATGACCTGTTGTCCCTACCTCATGTATGCCGAACGTATGCTGGAAAGAGCCCATTTCTCGCACCGGATGGGCTTCCGAGGCGAGTCAAGATGCTTGGACCTGCCACAGAGAAGTTTGTTACCGAGGCCTGAACAGCGCATGACTTAATGCCATCTTCTTAGTAGTCCGTCTTGCTCGTCTTTCTGTCCCAACTGACGGCTCACCCATTCCCATCCAGGCTAGCCCCCTTGCGGGGTCTGCTCGTTCAAATCCCCATGAGGCAGGACCCTCTGATGATTGCCATCATTATTCAGGCTTGGTAAGACTCGCGTGGCATCGATGGGGTAATAGGGTTTCTGGTCACCCGATATCCCCCATTTAAAGCAGTGGAAGATCTCTCTGACAGGGGTGTTCACCTTTCTCCCTCCAGGGTCCTACATGAGGCTTGATCCAGGCCATCTGTCCGCCATGGTTTCAATTCATGTATTATTACTCACGGTGTCCGTCCTGTCCATCGTGCTCATCCTACGATGCATCTGGACGATCGTGTACCGGCTGTTCTTCCACCCCCTGGCCCATCTACCGGGCCCACTTCTTGCTCGGGCCACGCACCTGTATGCCTTTTGGTATAATATGCAAGGTGGATCCTTCTATCTTCAGATTCAAAAGCTGCATGAGCAATATGGTATGTCCATTGTGCCGTGTGATACGATTGATTCCCTCCTGTTCGCAGCAGTTACTCAAGCAGCATAGGCCCCGTTGTCCGCATCACACCTGACGAGATCCACCTAAGCGACCCTGAAAACTGCGAGAAGATCTACTACATAGGATCACGGTATGGCAAGGACCCTCAGTTCTATGGCGCATTCGGCACCCACAAGGCGACCTTTACGGCACCAAGCCCCGATGTACACCGAGTCAAGCGATCGGCCTTGAACCCCTTCTTTTCGCGCAAAAAGGTGCTTGAGTTGGAGGATATTGTGCAGGAGAAGGCAGACAAGCTGGTCAGGCGCATGAGGGAGTCTTTCAGCTCGACCGGCTGTATTGACCTGCACCATGCCTTTCGTGCTATCTCTGTGGATGTCATCAGTGACTACGCCTTTGGCAATTGTTACGGATTTCTCGGTAAGAAGAACTTTGGCGCTGAGTTCTTTGACATGATCCGAGGTTTTGGTCCGGCATTTTGGTTCTTTCAGCAATTTCCGGCTATACAGGGGCTTTCACTTAGCACACCGTTCTGGTTGGCCAAGTTGACTAGTGAGCCATTGACGAGGATGATGTTGCATCGTGAGGTTGGTCGTATTTTTTCAATTTACCTATCAGGGCTGACGTCTCCTAGGGTTCTCGTCGCCAAATATTGAAGGTGAAGGATGCTGTTGATCGGGGCGACAAAGGAAGCCGAACAACTATATTTCACCAGCTTCTTCACCCAGAGGCTACTGAAGGTCATGTGGTGCCCACGGTGGAGGAGCTGGAAGACGAAGCCTATATCATGCTGGCTGCAGCTGCAGACACAACTGGGAATGCGCTCACCATTGCTGCTTACAACGTCGTTCGGAATACAGAAATCTACAAACGCTTAACGGAGGAGCTGAAGCGGACGTTTCCTGATCCGGAAGGGGAACTAGACTTTGTGGCTTTGGAAAGATTGCCCTACTTGGTATGCGTCAGATACTCCCATTGATATAACCATAGCTAACGTTGAAAGACTGCTGTTATCAAGGAGGCTCTAAGGTGATATGATTCCTGATGAACCGGGAAAGACATTGCTCATTCCAATCTAGGCTATCGTGTGGAGTCCCTGGCAGACTTCCTCGAGTCGTTCCTGACGTCGGCGCTGAGTTCAATGGCTATCATGTTCCTCCTGGGGTATGCCTCGAGCATGACATTATCATTGTCAATCCGCTAACATGTATACAGACTGTTGTCAGCATGAGCTCGTGGACAATGCATCATAACGAAGATCTCTTCCCACAATCGGAAACGTTTGACCCAAGCCGATGGACTGACCCGGTAATTGGCAAGTCTCTTGAGAAGTACTTGTTCTCTTTCGGCAAGGGGTCTAGGCAATGTATTGGAATGCCGTAGGTCACCTCACATGTGAGATTGAACTGTACTGACATCTGTAGGCTTGCATACTGCGAGCTGTACGTGACTCTCGGTCGACTTTTCCGACAATTCGACGACTTGAAAACAGCTCAGAAGAGCCGGGAGGAGCTGCGATATAACGACTACTTCTCATCCTATCACCCGGCGGAATACAACAAATTTATTTTCGAGAAGGCACGCTGAGATTTTATTATCTTCCGTGCCTTTCTCACTTCATTTCTCGTTATGTTTTGATGATACCACCGCGCCATGGCTCAACCAGTGTTCATATAATGATATCCAAGCCACTTACAACTAAATAAATCGCATTGCAATCCAAACCCCCCACAAACCTCAAATTAAATCCATCTCCAAACCCAAGAGTAAATTCTGAGTCCTAACACTGGCGATATTCCAAGTGAATGTAACTATCAAAATCGAATTCCCTTACCCCCACCTCAACCCACAACCCTTCCGAAGTAGAACACTTCCTCAGCTCTCTCCATCCCCTTGCTCATCTTTGCTTACTTTTCTCTTTCTCGCCTCCTCAACCACAATTCCTCTCTCCATCTTACTTTATCTCTTCCCACCCGTTCCTACTCTACCTCAACCACAACCCTCCTCTCTCTATCTACCTTCTCCCCACAATACAACAAACCCAAGATTACCAAATCCAAACCGCCAAAATGCCCATGACTTGGAATGAAACAAATGACGCCAAAGTACGTCCACCCCCTTCTTCCCCAAATCCAACCCATGCGAGCACAAACTAACACATCCCCTCCTAACCCAGCTCCTAGTCGGCATCTTAACCACCACAAACGTGAAAATTGATATGCACGCCTTGGCCAACTTCATGGGTCCCGGTATGTCTTTCCCCCTTATCCCCAAAACCACCCATCTATCTATACTAACACACATACCGTAGGCTGCACCGTCTCCGCCGTCCAACACCGCATCCAGCGTCTCAAGGACAAAGTTTCTACCTCTACTCCCGGGGGCACTGCTTCGTCCCCTGCGACTGGTACTACTAGTACTACTATGACTTCCCCGGGCAACGAGACACCCACTACTCCTACCCCCGCTACTCCCGAGAAGAGAAAGCGTGGTCGACCCCGCAAGAACCCTGTTGCTGGGGGTGGTGAAGCTAAGACTTCTTCTACTACTACTAATACTGTCGCGGCTGCTGGTGCTGCTAAGAAGCCAAAGGCTAAGCGGGCTAAGAAGGCTGATGGTACTGCTACTGCTACTGCTGCGGTTATTAAGAATGAGGAGGTTAGCGATGATGATAATGATGTGCTTTCCGAGATTGGTGTTCCCGAGACTCCTGGGGCTGAGGAGGGTGGTGAGGAGGTGCAGGAGAGTCCGGTTGTTAAGGGTGAGGAGGAGGATGATGCTTGATGGGGTTGTGGTTCTCGCTTCTTTGTGGCTTCTTTACTTTGAGAGGGCTTGTGGTTGAGGGAATGGATTGGGTGATTTGGGGAAGTTGATGGTTACGTAACTGGCTCGTTTGATGGATGGTGGGTTATTTTTTTTTTTCTTTTTATTTGCTGGATGATGACTTGAAATGGAACGGGCATTGAATTGGGTGGTGGTCGTACCTTAGGATAAGTGGGAGATCTGAGCTATTGAAATTGAGCTAGGTGTTTTCATTTGCAGGCCTTACTTGTGTTGGAGTAATTAAAGTACATGGTGTAAAAAGCAGAATCATCATAACTTCATAATCCACCGTCCAGTTCATCCACCAGATCTTCAAGTTATCAGCAACCCCCGTAAACCGATCCTGCAAACCTAAGCATCATACAAATCACCATCATCAAACTCCTCAGCACTATAAATACCCTCCCCCTTATCCTCCACCTCAGGCACATACTCGCTGGCTGAGCTATCCCCATCTCCTTCATCATCTTCATCCTTCCACTCCACCATTCCAGGCGCAAGCGCACTGGCCTTCCGGACACGCTTCACAGGAGCAACCTCCGCCTCGCTCTCCAAGTCAACCACCTCCTTCTTCAACTGAGCAGAGGACCTCGCGCTCATTCCCTTCCCCTTCATGGCCTTGGTAGGGGTCTCCATCCCATTCTCGATTTCAGTATCACTACCTCCTTCCACCTTCATCTTGGCAGGGGTAGGCGTATACTCCCCCACATCTCCATCCTCATCGTCATCATCATCGTTGCGCTTCCTCTTCAAAGCTGACCCCTTCCTGGCATTACTGACGTGCAACTTGTAAGGAGTAGAGACAGAAGCAGGGCTGGAAGCGGCACTAGCAGTAGACTTGGTCATTGGACTTCCGGTCTTGAGCCCCTTTCCGATGGAAAAGTGCCCCTCCATGCCGCTGGACTCGCGAGCGGTGTTTCGCATGCGAACGAGACGCTCGGAGATGGCGCGGGGGGTGGGCGTGTCCGGACCGAGGGATTTAGCTGGTTTGAGGTGGTTAGTTGGGATTTGGTTAGTTGGTTTGGGGTAAGTAGTGGAAAAGGAGGTGGGGGGAATAGACTTACGCCATGCTTCGGCCACGCGTTTGGCGTCGACGGAAAGGGAGTGGGTTTCGAGGATTTTGAGGAGGAGCTGGATGTGTGGGTGAGTTGTTTGTTTGCTGGTGGAGAGGATGGTGCGATATGGTGTGAGGGAGGGGGGTAGAATGGGTAAAATGGGTAGAGTAGGTAGTGGAAATAGTATCGATGGTGTAGGTTGTGTGTCGGATAGGAAGAGGGGAAAGAGGAGTAGACTTACAAGCTGATCTTTCTCAGGAGTCCACTTCATGGTTGTTTCTTCCTCGTGCAGATAAGGTTTTTGATGTATGTATAGAGGAGCTGCAATATTTCCTGAAGAAGTAGAATAGAGAAGAGTTTGTAGTAGAGACTTAATCACAAAAGCAGAGCGAGTATGTAAGGGAGAGAAAAGTTAAGAGGAAAAGAAGAACTTAACAAGAGACAAAAACAGACTACAAGAAATGGAAGGAGTGGAAAGCAGCTCAGGGTATGTGAAAATACATATTCTCCTGTGTTCACTATTCTATAGTGAATAGCTGCAGTTCACACAATGACTAGCAATTTCCAAGCAACGTTGACTGTTTATTTTATTATTCATGTATTACTTGCTGTCTACTGTAGAGATGTCTCTGGTTTCTTCAGCACTGGTTGTGGTCAGAATCTATCCAGTGTATTCTGCGCACTTTACTTCACTAGCTCTTTTGTAGATATGCTGGAATCGGTGATGCAGATCTCATCTTAGTCTCGACAGACGATCCCTGTCATTAGGGTGGATGTTCCTGCATGTGCTTATCTTATCCACTTGACTTTTTCTCTGGCTGCAGCGGAAGTTGCAACAATACTTCCCCGAACTCGGCCGTGGATCGGATGCAGACTTGTTTCAGAGTAGAATCTGTTCTATCTACTGTTCCAAATGACTGATCGGATCTGGTGCTGTTGTGGGGATTCGGTGCAGCCAGTCGGCCTTTCTTCCCCGCTGGTGGAATCTACACATCAACTCTGTGGGCATTGGACAGGTACCTTCTCGGCTGGACCCAGCACACTCTCTTCCTTTCCCACAGATTCAGTGGAGCAGTACACAGTCTTCCACAGAAAATGAGAGAGAGGTACTTCCCCTTCTCTTGAGTCTGCGGGGTTTAGCCTGTCAGCTCAATAAAAGTCATGTCACTAAATCTCAGTGTCTGGGTAGTCCCCAGACCAACATTCTGACCTGTCGCCCGGCCGTCTGTTTGACTGGCGGTCATAGCTGTGGTCCCAAGACTGGCTAGCCATCATGCCTTGACATTCACTGAGGATCTGGGGACTCGATATGTGTGTTACCTTCACGCCGTCTCTAGCATCATTTTACTAAGACTTCTTTTACTTCGCACGACAGGAGAATCTGACCTAATCATCTCGCACTTGCTCATCTCTGAACATTTGCATTGACATCCGTTGCAAAATACTGAAAGCACAATGGTCAATTGGAAACAACCCGAGTCAGCCGACCGTCTCTGTGCGGCGCTCGTCGTAGCCCATCCGAGTCTAAAGGTACGGCAGTTTCATTCCCCTTGGCTGTATCCCACTAACGTTCCAGCAAGCTCGACTACAATGCCATAGCCACCTACTTCGGACAGGGAGCAACGTACGACGCAATTCAAAACCGCTTCCGGAAAGTCCACTCATTCGCCGACCAACTCCGACAGGAAGCCATAGAACGGGGGATCACTGATCTTCCCGTTGCGAAGGCCCGAAAATCCACTACCGGCAGTATTGCCTCTCCTGCTCCACGAACACCCCGTATGGGCCGCAACGGGATCCAGAAGCCTGTCTCCTCTTCCTCATCTCGAAGGAGACCCGCTTCCAGAACACCCGCCAACTTGATAACACCAACCCGAAGCGGAGCCGGTTCAAGCAAAGCCGGACAGTCTATTATGGATGCAATCTCTCTAGAAGATGACATGCTCGATGATGACAAGACCGATATGAAGCCTCCACTCAAAGCGGAGTCCAGGTCTGCGCAAATCTCAACAATGGCAGGTCCTGCTTCCGACGAAAGCGATGTCGAGATCATTGAAATGCCTCCTTCGCCCCCGGCACTTACATCGGGGAAAACTGAAGACTTCTATGTCTCCACATCGAGTTTTCCCTCTTATCCTAGCTTCAGCGTGGGCAATGGAATTAGCTCAACTGTCAAACGCGAACGTGAGCAAAGTCGCTTGCCGGGATCCGAGGATACGCCCGTGAACGGTACGAATACTACTCCATCAACATCAAGCGTCTTCAGCAACAGAAAGAGTAACAATGATACTACTCTCGGCATATCCAGTATAAGCGGGTTCGCCCATAGTAGTAGTTCAGCCTACGAGATGGACGATCCATGGAGTGAAGTTGCATGAGAACCGAGATCAAAACAATGCTGCTTTATCTCTCATTTCTGGAAGAAGTCAATCTGATTCTCCATTGCATAATCCATATAGCTTTCCTTGGTTTCGGTTCTAGGTTCTTTTTATTTTTATCTTTTTTTTTTTTCCTTCTTCTTCAAGGGCAAAGCGTTCCCTGTACTCTTCTACTCAATAGATCATATCCTACATCTTACTCTTCTTGTAGTTACCATCATACCTGGCCTAAATTCAGTTCTTTTAATGCACGCGAATGATATTGATGTTAATTACGCACAGTCGCCTCTTCACTTAACGGAGATTCAAATAATATACTTTTTTGTTATATCTTTCAACTCGAAGATTGGAAGATAAAGCACTGATTTTGTAGTATAATGAAAGTCTATCTTAACCTTTGATACTACTACTACTAGTAGTAATACTACTGCTACTAATATATAATTGCAGTGGTGGTTGGAGTATGTGATCCACTACTAAGCACTAAGCATCATGATCATGTCCTCGTGCCGGAACAGAACTGGGTTAATCCCAGAAATTTAGATGATCGGTTATATTTCGTCGTGATGTGAAGCTCCACAACTAGTATGACTGAATCATACCTAGTAAAGGTGCCTACCTCTCGAGTACATTCGCTGATGGCATGATTGCTTCCATCCAGAGTGCCCTGCCCTGCCCACGGAGAATCAAGGCGGGAACTAATCCATTGTGCTGCTGGCCATGCATACTTGTAACTACAGATTAATGTTCTTAATTAAACACCTCGCTTTCAATTATATCATCGCATACTGCATGCAGTGACAAATGACTAACGCTAAGCTCAAATACTAAAAGATCCACAGCCCCACTCACAGCCGAGCCGGCCTCGGCTTCAAGTCCGAAGTAAATACAACGTGGTTGCTCAAGGCGAGAAGATTCCCCCTCTCATCTAATAGTTGCAATGCAGCATCATACCGGCCATTGGAAACCTTGTTGGAGTTGGAGCGGACCATGATCCAGTCAGTGGACGGGTCGGGCCGCCTTTTGAACTCGATCGACAGACACAGGGTGGAGATCGCATATTTAGCGTAGAAGTCCGGAATATGAGTTGCTGGTGGCTGCAGGGGCTTATTGCACGCGGCGTATTAGCAACAACTAGAAGAATGTTGGGATGAACCGCAACTTACCAAGTCGGAAAGATACGCCAGATGTAACACGTCAGATAGTTTGGAGCCGTCGCGGAAGGACAGCCAGACCTCGCGGTTGTGGCCGCCGAGGCGGTGGCCCCAGAGTCCCTGTGGAGATCGTGGGGCGACCCAGTTCATCTTCGCGGTCACAGGGGTGGAACTGACGACGGGGTCATCGATAGTAACGCATTCCGTGAGCCGATCAGGGGGTGGTCGGGTGATTACCGGCCGCGTTTCTTGCGTGAGGCCCTTTTCTTTGCTAATATCGCCGTAGGTGAAGATACCGAGAGTTGTAGTTGGGTAAGAGTCGGAGTCCTCTCCCGGCTTAGGGGCCCGCGCGAATTCAACTTGTAGAACGGATTGTTTCTTGGACACTCGTAAAAGTGTGCAAGTAATGATCGACGGGCCAGGGTGAACCATGTGTAGAAATTGGACGAACGCATGAACGGGGTCGGGATACCGGCCTACGCCAAGTTCCTGGTCGAGGAACCTTTGACCGGCGGCCAGCATGATCGCAGTAGAAAACCCCCCAAGGACAGAGCTGCTCTGGTCAACTCAGCCCGTCGAGTGATGGAGCAAGGATGCGGCTGTCAAACGGACGTACTGTTGGGTACACCAGTCCCGTGTAATCTTCACGGCATATTGGTTCCGCGTCCCCGGGACGGAGGACAAAGAGGAAACCACATCCAGCAGGTTGGGTCGAACTCGTGATGCCATCCTTGCTCGCCTGCACGTATAGTCGCCTAGTAGTATTTAGAGAGAGATTGTTTGGTCGGAGAGTGATAAGGGGGATAGGGGATTTGAGGAGAATTTCAATGCTTGGCTTGCGAGGACAGGCACGAGGGGTGGGAGGTCCTTTTTGACCTGAACGTTGCTCCACGTAAGGGATCAGAAGAGTCTGGATTACCCCACAGGGCGAATGACATGGACGAAGCACTCACGGTAAGTTCACATGTCCCAGATGTACCACCTTAACCGCACGCGGATTTGACAAATCACGGCCCATGGCGGAGAGGCAGCCATGGGTTCGCGCAACGCACTAACGAAGATCATCGGCTGAAGTCTGAACCTCAATAATTAATTTCCCGGGAGCTAAACACTAGCCTATCCATAGCAGGGGGGTAGCGAAAGAAGGATCAGCCCGCCGGAGCCGAAGCAATCCAGGGCAGCCCAGCATAGCTCATATAGCTCATAGCTCAACACGATGAGTGGAATGAATGCATGAGGAGCGCGTCGGCTGAACGGATCCGTCGAGCGGGAACGGGCGGATAACCCTTCCGATGGAGATCAGTGCGGAGAGGCACTAAGTGGTTGGTTAGAGAGTGAGACAAGCCGAGGTTGAAGTGTAGAAGTGTGAAGACGAAAGAGGGGAAGAGGTAGAAGGGGAGAGCATGAGTTGGGGGATGGAGATGCCATTTGAAACTCGCCTTATCATTTTATTTTTCATTTTTATTATTTTACTTTTTCTTTTCCCCCAAAATGGACTCGAGAAGCAGATCACGAGGCGATCTCCCGATGCGGTAATATGATACGCGGACCGACCAAAGTACTCCGTCGGCTTAAACTATTTTGGTGCTTCTCCTTTTTTTCCTTTTTTTTTCCCCAACTTTCATTATTCGGGATTAAGAAATCATCTTGTGCAGTTGCCTGTATAGAAGCATTTAAACCCAGACTACTTCCTCTCAACTGATATAAGATGAGAATGTGGGTTCAAGGGGGCAAAACCCGACCGGCATCATGCGATGGATCAGGGAATCGTTTGTACCCAACTGCCGATCACGTGGGCTGACGCGGACGCGGTGCGGGCGTCGCCTTAATCATTTTGCCTTTCGCTCTTCCTCCTTCCGGTTCCCTATTTCGGTTTTTGCCTCTTTTTTCGCCCGCATCTTCATCTTCATCCTCACTCCCTCTCTCCCTTCTATATCTTCTCCTCTCCCTCTCCCTTACCCTCTCCCTCTCCTTCCCCTTTTTTTTTCCACGAGAGGTCTCTCTGGGCGCTGCTGGCTTCTTCGTTCGTCTCCACGAGGATCCGGCACCCGGCACTCGGCACTCCTAACCCCGCCGCCCAGTGAGCCATGAACAACCCTGCTACCACCGCCCTTTTCACTCCCAACCCCATGCGGCCCGATCATGATCAATGGGGTACCACACCGCAGTCTCCGAACAACCCCTCTACCACTGCCTCCAAAGCAGCCGCCGTTGGCATCATCAAGCCCTCGGCCTCGTTGGATAAATCCACCCCGATAGAGTCCCTTCCTTTCGCCGGCCGCGGGAGACAACTCAGCGTCCCCGAGCAGGTGTGCCTCGTCAATTTGTGCGCGGCGTCCATGAGCGATGATGATGCTCACAACCATCCGAAATCCTTCTGGATCAAGATCTCCAACAAACTTGAATTGCAAACTGGCCGTCGCTATTCCTGGCAGTCATGCCGGCGCCGTATTCAGACCTACATTTCGAAACGAAAGGCCCACTGGGAGGCGTATGCGAACGGTGATCCGTATCCGGGTGTAGACATTGATACTGAAGTCTGGGACCTACTGACTTCATGGTTGGTTAAATACAACACACCTCGGGATGTGACAGCCAAAGCCCCGCTGGGGGCGTCTGTTGCACTACCCACCAGAGTAGAACCTCAACCCCCTCAGGTCCCGGAGCCAGTCCGGATGGTGCCCGAGCAGGGGTTGGTACAGATCTCGACGAAAATCGAGCGGGTTCTGGTCTGGTTGAAGAGTCTCCCGCCGTTGGAGGATATGGAAGCCATGAGAACATGGACGGGGTATGTCGATCCCCTGGCGGACTGGATGTCTCGCTCCAAAGTCCGGCGGGAGCGTCGATTGGTTTTCCAGAAAACCAAAAATGGCGAAGAGCAGCCTGAGTTTGGTGCTGATGGCTTGACGGACCCGGCTTTGGCCTATCTGCCCCAACCTCATCAGCCCTCTCTTGCACTGCACGATCCCTTACAAGGGACCAAACGGCCTCGCGAGCTAGACGATTCCTTCGCTGAGCGTCCTGCCCAGCGTATCCGTGTAGACCCTGTGAGCCATCCTTCCGGCAGTCCTTATGCCGAGGAACACGCCGACAACGCCCACCTGAAAAGGAAGCTTGTCGAGTCTTACTTTGAAAGCACCTTCGGCAAACTGATTGACCGGCTATCTGCTCGATTCCGGGCCCAGGGTGCCAAACAGCAGGACGCCCCTGGGAGCTGCGAGGCCATAATGCGCGATCTTTTCAAAGATGTCGGAGTGGCGGTTGCAAAGGCGTTAGTCCGAATGGATGAACCTGCAGTTCAAGATCAGTTACCGAACTGATCCAAACACATATTCAGCATTTAGCGAATCTTTCGTTGCATATTGATTTTACGCATGATCCTAATGGGTGGTTTTGTGTCATGTTCTGAGTTTGGTCTTTGTTTGTGTGACCTGGAATGTTTATTTTGCCTCATTTGCATCGTTATTACTCATATCTTCTTTGTTCTCATGAGCAGCTGATTGCCCTAGAGATACCCTTTGCATTTGGAGCCCGGATGTCATGTCTTTACGTCGGTTTATTGTTTGGTTTACATCACTGGAGTGAGCATATTTGCATCTTTGTTATTTATTGCACATATAGCATGCATAGGATGAATAGAATGGACAAAACGTGGTTTTACAAAATGGATTTACAGCCATTGATTTGTAGTATAATACAACACCATAAATTGGCATTAAAGTCTTACTAGACTTAGTACTCAAAGATATGCCCTTCATTCCAGCTGACTCGTTCGACATATCAGCCTGCAAGGTGAAGGAAGGTATGGTCAACACAAACCCCGAAGATGTCTCCCCCCTCCCCACAAAATATCCCCGACTGCCACTCCCGCCAGAACCGCATGCAGGCCTACTACGACGTGTAGCTACCAAAAAAAAATCTTCCTTCTTTCACCTCTCCCATTGTGGCTTCCCTCAATAGGTCCGAACTTCATGCCTGTTTCGGTGTTTTGATTATGTGTGTACTACATACACCACCACGCCTTTTCTCTTCCCTTACTGCATGCGCTGCTACCATGCTATATACCATCGATCTATCAACATCTATATGATGCACGTAGATCTATATAGTATCAGAAGGATCATGATCTGTAACAGTATCTCGCGAACCAACACATTCAGTTACACGATTGTCAGTCAATTTATGCATTTGAGAGGTGGCGTGATAGCAGGCAGGCCTTACACGTAGGCGTACTACTTCTCCTGGAGTGGATAGTCGTGGATATGTGTGTCAGTTAATGATGGTTTGGGTGAAAACACAGGCCTATATGGGTAAGTTGTATAAGATATGAGATAGAGAGAGAGAGAGAGAGAGCGTGTATTGGGCTGGGGTGGCTGTTAGTATGTTTTGCTATGTTTTGCTATTTTTCTAACCATTTGTTTTGATTAGTTTAGTTCAGGTTTATGGGTCCGTCTGTTTCATGTTGATTTTACGTTCATTCTCTTTTTGAGAGTATATTCATCCTTTATCCCCCCGCGTTACTCTTCTTTCTCTTGTGTTGTTAGTACTGTACCCTTTTCGTTGATGTACTTGACCATGGGTTGGTAGTACTTGGGGTCTTGGGGTGTTACGCGAGATCCTTTACAGGTAAGGGATATATCATCCATGTTGTGGGATGGAGCACAAAGATCACACGCCATCTTGCCTCGTTCTGACTAGAAGTAAGCGACTGGCGGTGATGTCAATCCAGAGATGGAAAGTACTAGAGTTCATTCATTTATATAATTCAAGGTCTCAAAAGCTTGTAGGAGAGAATATACTCTTCAGTCTATGCAATATCTGTCTATACTACTATCAAGAGAATTTCAAGATAACTTCTTATCTTTGATGATTGTTCTATCTACTTCTAACAATGAATCCCGCCGAGTGTCAAAATGCCTACACAAAGGTATTCGAAGAGAAGACATACCGAGGGCAACTCCTCTCACTGCTCTCTCGAGTTGAGTGCGCTGCTCTACAAGACGCCTATCTAGCGTCCCTTCCGAGTGATACTTGCAAGAGGAAACATCGCTACCGGAGTAAAGGAACCGGACTGCCTGCGTATGTTGTATGCTCCTGTGGGGGTGAGCTCTGGGGAAGGGAAGATGTCCCTGAGTTGAACCAAGCAGCGGTGTTGGGGCATACCCTGCTCCATTTTGGTGCAGAGGAGGGCTGCGCGGCTTGTATAAAAACTGGTGTCATATTCATGTTCCGATCCTGGCTTCTAAGTTCCAGCGAAGATCGGGAGCTAATAGCACTTTCGTTGGTCGCAGCTTGTGAGTGTGTCTCAAGGCAGTACTTGCTGTCAACCAGTCAGAACGCCATTACCCAAGACCTCGCCATGGAATGCCCGGGGCCATGCCAGCAGCGCATTCTTAAGTGGTGCCATGGTATGATGCCTAATAAGGCATTGGATATGCTTGCTGGTGTTGAAGGAGACTTGGAAGACTCATTCCGCAAAGGTTTGACGTCACTCTGTGATTCTCCAGGGGTACAGCTCCCCACTGGGTACGAAGATCTAAGGTCTTATGTCAAGGGTATCGCGACTTTCTATGCCTGCTCAGTTATGACAAGGCCAGGCCAGGCCACTGGTCTAGCGGCCCCGATACTGCGCTGGAGCATGATAAATGAGTTACAGTCGCAATTCGATCAAGAAGCTGTTGGCGGAACTTATGATTGAAGCTCCAAGCCTTTTGCGCCTTGGGCCGGGCCTGCTCTCAATAGTGTTTTGCTAAAAAGAGCCCGCAAAGACCGACCAGTCCGACAAACGAAGCTCCCTTCGTTTGAGGCATACCTACGTGAACGGCTGGCCGACGGCTTCTGGTATGCAATGAAAGCAGCAGTCAGCTCTCCAGATGCTGACAGGCTCTATCTCACCCGATACTCAACCGGAATTTATGAGTATGCCATTGACTCGGCATGTGCATTTGATACTATGGGCCACGCCCGGGCACTCCAAGAGGATGCATTGTACGGTGCATGCAGTTATGATCGCCAGCCATTAGACCAGCTCCCGGATTCGAGGTCCGATTCTTACGACGATATTATCTATGCTGCGGGATACTTATCCCTGGCATCATATGTGTGGGGTGCCAATGCGCACCTTGACCTGTTGCGCGGACAAGTCAATCAAACATCTGCTACCCCTCTGTCCGGAAACTGGTATGCTCGAGTTTGGCACGATGCACTGTTTGGGCAGTCTACACCTGGGGAGCTATACAAATGGACAGCACGTACAAAGACCACGGGAGCTTCACTGGGGATCGAGAGTTCACCGAATGTCAGTCTGACTGTAGCTGTCCCGAAAGATACCATAAATATGGTCTTGGAGCAACGTTGTTCTGGGCACGAGAAACGTGGTGTGGCGTACCCTGTCCGACTGCGCCATTTGATGTGTGAATGTTTGGCTCCTTTGTCGACGGTGTACGGGCTATCCTCCGTTGTGGTGAGGGGAAACATAGCCCTGCACCAGAACGAACCGCGTCTGCAGCCTTGCCCGTCCGGAAAGCATGCATTGGCGGGATTGCGCAGGTGAGATGTCAAATCATACATCTGCTCGTATGGTGTGCCGTCGATCAACGCTCCAAGTCCCCAAGGGCTCTGGCCAAGAAGCCAAAGAGTCGCAGGAGATACTCGGGGTTTGTGTGCAAGCCAATTGGTATTGTGAAACGAATAGTGGCAGCTCTGAAATTTGCGAAGAAGTCCATACTAGGATCTTAGTTTGAACAGACTAAGGAAGGCTCGGGCGATATGAAGTATATTGCGTGAATTTAGGGGGTAATACAAGAGAAATCTCCACTTTTCCACTGATGTTGAGAGAAGACATTGGAAAAATGAGAGGGAAGGCATACGTAGTAACCTAGCAAGGATCCTGGCATCAGACTGAAACAAACTTACTTGACTTGGTTACTGCACCGAAGCAGTGCTGAGAGAAGTGGACCGGACCGCTCACTACTAGCGTCTGAGCTTCTTAGTTTAAGGCTCTAAGCAGCATCGTACCACTTCTCAATTGTGGCACCGTGGAGTGCATATCCCCCATGGGGAGACATGGAGAATAGATTCGCAACGTAGCATTGACAATCTGAAAGCGTCGATCATGAGCCAGAGATCATTGGAACCTGGGATTGTGGAGAGAGGGGAAACTGGTCCTGCAAGAAAGAGGTGGTTGTGTGGAAGGTGCAGTTGAGAGAGGAAGTCGGGCTGTGGGGAGTCGACGTGGGGACGGCAGCGGCAAGCAATGGAAAATGTGGGTGATGGGGACGGACTGCCAGGCAGAGCAGGTAACTACGGTTTGTGGCACAATTTTACACGGTTATTGTCCGATTGACTAGGCCTTCTATGCACAATCCTAAGTAGTGGGAATGCTGTTGTCTTTTAAGGGAAGGTTGGGCCCGATGACCAGATTCCTTCCTACGTAAAGCCCTCGGTTGTCTATATACGACCTCAGTCACAAACCAAACCTAACCTCTATGTAGCCGTATAACCAAAAGGTCACCAGGACCTGACGCCAAAAATGCTAGACAGGAAAACACCACGCTGTACATGCGAATTTAATACCACCTAATGGCAGAGAGTAATCCACTGGTCAATAATCTCCTCCATGTCATGCGCAATGCCCCACTGGGAGAACATGCAGCGGAACAGCTTCTGCAACGAGTTCATCTCATACAACAGATTACGCACCGCTCCCATGCCAGGGGGAGAGTCTGTTCGTCCCTCCTCGACAAAACGCCGTGTTTCAGAACCAGTCGAGGGGCGAATGTTCTCGCACCCGAGGTTCAGATCAGCGCGCGAAAGCAGGGCGTCCTGCCAGACAATCGTGCGTGGAAGATGAATATTCGCCACACCAGCAAGAGAGAAGACAACGTATATTGTTGTGGCCGAGAACAAAGAGCTTGGCATGTGGATAACATGGGCCCTGCCTCTCGGGAGTTGTTCGACAATATCTTGTATTGCAATAGCGTGCAGCAAAGCACGACGAGCATCTTCGGTATTGACCCATTTGGCCATGTCGAATCCTGGCTTGATGGTCCGAGAGCCTCCGGAAACGTGTTGCGTAATGTCATATCGGGAACAAACATGTCTGCAGAGTACTGTGGAGTTGATCATGGTGTCGAGACATATCGTATGCCAACGTAGGAGAACCTCAAGACGCTCCGGTGCAGAGAGATGGATACTCATGGTAATAGTTTCATGTACTTGAGCCAATGCTCTTCGGACATCAGAACGGCCGGGAACCCCGACGGCAGCAAGATCACTTTCGTCTGAATCCGAAACAAGAGACTGTAGGCCTTCTAGGACAACACGTAATGCAAAGGCAGAAAATTGGAAGTCTAGAGGTCGAAAGCTCCCGATAGGAGGGAAGAGAGAGCGGAACACCAACCGGAAGGATGGTTGTTCCACCTTCTGAGTACGCATGATAGCGATCCATTCGTCGACATTACCAGCATCGAAGGCAGCTTCGCTGCTGGGGAGATGCAGAGGGTTAGCAACATGCCGAGTAGATGCACTGTCACCAGACATCTGCGCTACAAGGCCATCCAATATATGATACGCGAGTAACGCGCGTTGTTGAATCTCTCGAGCTGCCCATGTGCGCCATTTGTACTCCTTTTCTGTGCTGGGCGAGTTTGGGAAAGGCACGTTCTCCATTGGAAAAGGGTCGGCATCTAACATCCCACAGTGTCTTGCCCATAGGAAGCCAAGTGGGCGGAAGACCTGACTCGTCGTACGGATAACCCGGTTCTATGAAAGGTAACCCATTAGTATTTTTGGTAAAAGTGACCCTTGCAACTTTAATTCACCTTAGACAAAGCACCGTATATTTGGCCAAGCAGAGCGGTAATGAGGAGCTGTACTCCTTTGCAGACATCGTAAGGGCCTCGATGGGTGATCAAAGATTGCCACTAGATGAATGTAAGCACAATAATATCAGTGCAGGCGTCTACGATACTTACAGAGGTTGCTATAGCAGTATGTGCTAAGCGCCATAAAGCCTCCCCCTTAGCTACAGAGTCTTTCGGACCCAGGTATAACGACCCCAATGCCATAGCATTGAGGAGAAGAGGATGTGTACACTCGCGGAAAACGAAAGTTGCTCGATGTAGAACCGGGAACGTGGGGATGAATCGCACGAAGAACATATGCAGACATTCATCTAAGAAGACTGATGTTATCGAGGTCGCTTTGATTGCAGCTGTGACACTTGATGACTAGTGATTTTGAGAATCAGTAATGGGTAGTAAGACCAAGGAGCCTGGGGAATACCCACCGAGCTTGTCACCATCTCGGTAACATCCCGCACGGCCTGGTGGCTTCCACCTGAGGGAATTGTGCCTATTGACGACCCTCTGTCGTCAAACGAATTCGGTGACCCAAAATTCATCCCATTAACATCTTGTACAACTGGTGGGAAGGGCAAAGCTCCTAATGGCATCTGCCACTGGTCGGTGGCATCGGATGACATGATACTTTGAAAGAGATTTTCCGAGTCAGGCCAAATCAGGGCAAAATCAAGATCGGAAGCTGCATGTTGCAGGCCCGGATGCTGCTCAGCCTGGGACGTCTCCCAAGCCTGATTAGACGCAGAGGTAGAGACTATCGGTGGTGCTGGGGCGCGACTGGCATCCCAGGGCAGAGCATCCAAAGAAGTCGTATGCGGAGGAACATGTACGGATGATTGCTGTACTTGGGCCTGTTTGGCGTTGGCCGCGCGGGTGTGAAGCTTTTCATGCCGGGTCAGAGCGTCCTGGCGGGCAAAAGGTCGCCGACATTCTTTGCAGATGAAAGGCTTCGATCCCGTATCTTAGGCGCGGCAAGTTAGCCATCATGACTTGCATGGAAGACCTCCCACAATTACTAGGGCGGAATGCAGTGGCGATCATGTCTGCTCAAGCAGGAAGGAAATCAACAATGGCGGTATGCTTACGACAACGTTCATGTCTCTACAAGCCAGCATTAGTGATGTCTCCACACCATGGGATTGGCACTAGGGGCAAGTTACCCTCAAATGTTCTGCCTTAGAGAAGCCCTTTTGACAAACGCGGCAGATCAGTGTCTTGACCGCCGATGTGGTGGTGGTAGGGGATGATGTGGTTGATTGTGGCATGGCGACTAAAGGAGCCATAAAAATAGATAGATCTAGATCAAGTTGATTCCGACTAATAATGACACACAACCCATCCACGTTACCCAGCGAGCAAGATAGTCGAAGCAAGGGCCAGCCAGCTAGCCAGTCACCACGATAAAGTGGTGATAACGAGGGATAAGGCAAATAAGATACAGGCTGGACAGGCTGGGGGCGAAAGGGGGGGGAAATCGTGGAGAAGGAGGGAACTAAGCAGGTGGTTTTGTGTCAACAATAGAGAGGAGAAGCCGGCCTGAGTTGTGGGGCAGAAAATGTGGTGGCAACGCTGTTGCCTTGGCTCTTGGCACGTGGACGTCACATAACCGTATCGGTACACGGCGGCCGGGGTTATTTGCCTTTGTAGCAGCACTGAAGCTTGTAAGTTCCTTACGTGTCACACCCCGGCACTTGTTAGCGGCTCTGGGAGACGGACTGAGTCAAGAGCCAAGGCGTTAAACTCCACTCAAACTCGCTCCTACTCCAGACCCCGTGTCTACGTATTTGGTGTGGGTAATTAGCACCCACCTAATCTTGACTAGCAGTAGCACAACTGTAGTCCCTACTAGACGCGTCCTAAACATCCTTTCCCACAAACTGATCGATCACACGTTGTTTCCCTTTCCCCTTACATCTGCATAGAGCAGACGCAAGTTTGTAGGGCGTAGGAACTACTAGTGTTTGATAGTCCACTTTCCCCCAGGCAGACATATAATCAATTCCTGGTCACACGGTGATTTCACCATCACACAATGACATCTGCCCGAGCAGTTACCGTCCGCATATCGCTCGGCTGCTTGGCCAAATACTTTGTAATCCGTTTCACTCGGCAAAGTTAGCCCCAAATCTGGTCAGCGGAATAACCGAGATTTGGAGGCAAAACATTGGTCTACCCTGTCTCCTCCCCGGAAGGGGCGCATCCACTCCAAAGACTTAACCCGCCGCCGCCATGGCCGAATGGGTCGCTACTAGAACCATTCTGGATTCTGGATCTCCCGAGTCCTCCGTAGTCGGGCCCTCGGTTATGTTGCTTCTGGCGGCGATACACTCTCCTCTGGCTTGGTCCGGCCAATGAGCGGATCTTGCGCTATCCTCAATGACAGAACATAGTGACCATTGCTGCTTTCGTGACTGGACTGTGCCGTAGGGAATCCTCCGCATCTTCCCCACGAGTTGCCCCAACAGTACGCGGGACTCGCGGGACTCGTCACTTTCAGGTTTGATCATTCCCCAGGAAGGGTACTACCAGCGCCCCCAGTGATAGGTCAATCCCCCGGTGAGCGTGGAACCCTCCCTCGTCCCCCCGGTTAGGAACAATTTGTGTGAACCGATTAGTTGCGTAGGGAGGCACGGCTCTTCCCTCTTAGGCATCACATAGGTTCCCTCCATCTCCTCCTCCTCCTCCTCATCCT